GAAAGAAAGAAAGAAAGAAAGAAAGAAAAAGGCCTAGACATGTAGCGATTAAAATCTGAGCTTCATCTTTCATCTATATTTCATGAATTCTCATTAACTGTTGTTCAATTATAAATTTTACGAAATCCAACTAAGGAAAACACCACTGTTAAGTTCCCCTCAGACAGTCTTTTTTTTTTTTTTGTGGAAGTTCTTTGAGGTTTCGACCTTAGAAAGGTAGGGTGTCGAGGAAAAGTTTGTCAATTATTGCTGGCGGGGGAACTAGGTCCTCTAGTTTTAGGTAAAAGATACGCTGCAGACCTTGGGTGCATAGTGTGCGCAGTTCGGGGAGCTTCCCCAAAAGTTTTGACAGGTAGTTGGGTCGATTCAAACCGCCGCCATTGAATGTCACTTGATCCTTTAGGCAGTTGACGATCTTATTTTGGAGATCCTCGACTCTTTTGGGTTCCTTTAGCCCGTGTCGCTCTGTAAGCAAACAACAAAAGTAGTTAAAAAAATGTTGGTTGTTTTTGTTTTTTATCTAAACGTTAATTCTATGCGCTTTTACGCACCTGTCACCATTGCTAAAGCCGCGATGCAAGAGAAAGCCGAGATGTCTATGTTCATGCTCTGTAAATTGGAAGAAAACTCCACGATGGCGTCCACCCATTCTCCAAATCCGCGGACGCACTGAAGTCTGTGCAGCACCGCTCCATTACAAAATATAAGTTTCCCTTCCACCGGATTGGACCTGCAATTAAAAACAAAAACGCCATTAATTACTCAAGGCGATAAATGAAGGGGGGGATTTAAGAGCCTTTCTAATTATTGGCCAGCTAATAAAGCCAAGAGCAATGAAGCTTGAATAATTATTATCTAAAAGCCCGCTTAGGTTTATTTTGCAATTACTCACCTGTACGCAAGGCGCAGGACGAATAGTTCCAGGAAGGCGGATTCGAAGAGAAGATCCTGATCCTGCTTAGGGAGATCTGAGAAGCCCGGGATCTTCTCCGCCCAGCCTCGGATGATCTCCATGGAGCCCGTCAGGAGGTCATAGAACTGCTGGATGTGCTGAGTGTTGTCTCCGGTCATCTGGTAGTCAGGGTTCGCCTGAAACTGGAATTTAATTTAAACAGCGCCTTAATGAGGTCCTCTTAAAATATATAATCCGTGAAATTGCAAATTCCCTTTTCCAAGTGAGGAGAAAGAGAGAGAGCCGCTCACTATTAAATTCATGTCTTTTTATTAAGTTCCTATGTGATGCACTAAAACAAAACCAAAAAAAAAAAAAAAGCAAACGTTTGGAGTCAAAGCGATGGATTACAGAAAACTCCAAGGGTGATAGATTCACAGGGAATAAATCAGGAAAATGCCGCCAGTCTGTTATTTCATGCTTTATTCTGTAAGAGCGCAGTTTAGGCTACTCACTCGTGAGTAATCCAGAGCAGACATGGAGGGATTGGAGTCCACATGGGCCCGAACCAGAGCGCTTATGAGGCTCACTGGGGGCGAAGGAGGGGAGGGCTCCTGGGGGCTTTTTGGTTTGGATGGCAGGCGACCTCTCCGTCCTTTAAGGTTATCCGTTCGGACAACTGCGTCCAGAGAAATTTCACATATGAAAAAGAATGATTTATACTCCTATTGATGTGCGTCAAACCACCAACCTAAGCAAATTTAAACCCAAACTTTCTTTACGTGCATGTTCTCATTAAACAAAAGGAACATGTTTAAATAAAGCTGATATTTTTATTTTTTTATTTATTTTTTATGTAAAACATACCTTCTCTCACCATTCCGACGACAAGGCACTTCTGAAAGCGGCAGAACTGGCAGCGATTTCTTCGGCGTTTATCAACAGGACAGTTTTTATTCGCTAAACACACATATTTTGCATTCTTCTGAACGGTGCGCTGCAAAGAAATCAAATACAGAAACCATGTCACGGTTTGGACAAGAATATAGGCTATGAGAAGTGCACAGGACGCACGAGGTGCTCCACAACATAAAACATGTAAAGATGAAAACGATATAATATCAGCGCTATCTGCGCGTCATGACTGAACTAACATGAGGGAATAGAGCAGCAAACACACACGCGTGATCTCCCATATTTCATGTGCTCCTTTGAGGTTCAGCTGTGTGTTTATAATCTGATTTTAAATGGCGGGAGTTTGATTCGATTGAGGATTTTTTTTTTTTTTAATACATGATTGCTTTTTTCCCCTCTCAACTCACCTTAAAGAAACCTTTGCATCCTTCACAGGTCCTCACTCCATAGTGCTGACAGGCTGCGTTGTCTCCGCACACAGCGCATAAACCCTCGTTTGAAGGCGATCCTCTGGAAGGAGGCGAGGGTACCTGGCTGTCCACCAGCTGGTGCCCATGTCCAAGCTGCAGGGAGTGAGGAAAGGCCAGGCCGGCCTGCTTCCTGATGGTGCTGGGAACAGCGAAGCTCTGCGCGTCCAGGCCGCGGTGCGCTGCGCCCGGGCCGTCGTGGTTCATGGAGACATGCAACGGCCCGTCAAACCTCATCTGACAGCTTGACACGGGGGTACCGGGCGGGGACTGCTTAAACGAAAAGAGCGACAGCCTCGACATGGGGTTTTTGCGCTGCTCTATCATGTGTGAAGTTGCCGCAACGTAGTTCTGATGGAAACTGTGAAGAGAGCCCGGATCCTCCCACATGTGGTTGGACTGGATCTGGAAGTTCGGCGTGCTCGGGGAGTGTGGTGAGGACGGCTTGAAGTACATAGGCCCAGAATGAGCGATCATTTCCTCTGACTGAGGAGGCAAGTGGCTCTGCTGGTGGTAGCCGTGGATCTGGACATCCTCCACTTTGATGGAGGACTGCTCTCCAGAGTGCGGCATCTGATACAGACAAGGCGGTTTGACGTCGTAGCTGGTGTTATAGTTGTCCATGAAGGTGCTGAAACTCGGCAGAGAAGTGGTGGCTGTGATCTCAGTGTTGGTCAAGTCCATGCTAAACTTAACAAACTCGGGTGTTAGGAAGTCGCAGCTGTACTCTCCTGCGGTGTGGTAGCTGTAGCTCTGGGAAGCGGGGCTGGCTCCTTGAGGTGATGATCCATACTGAGCCTGGACGCAGGGCATGGCTGAAAAACCCAGGAAAAAGATGCATTTTTCAGAAGAAAAACATGGAAATCATACAAACGTATTCATCTGCATCCCACTACCAAAATAAACACGATCCATTATATCTCTATTTGTTTTGCAAAAAATACATAACTTATTCCAATCCTACCTCAAGCTTTTGACAGTTTTCCGGTGACACTTGAAACAGGCAATGCAAAGGAGTGGTGTTGATGTCAGGTTTTAAGAGAGCGCCACTTTTCTGCACCTTCCACTAAAAAAAGAAACACTTCTTGGATTTAATATGTAAGGATCATAAAGTCTTTACAGAGAAATATCAGAATTCAATACACACATGCCAAATATAGATACATTCATCTTAAACTGCTTAGAAAAAATGTTTGAGTTTGATGCTTAGTATTCAAACTTTACGCACGACTGACAAGTTGCTTGTAAAGCGTAAAACAGTTTAACAATTTAATGTTATAGTAACACACAGTTATACTCAGAATTAGTCTGGATTTGATACAGTTTCAGTAAAAAAATAAGAAAAGCATCTAAATCGCTTGGTGCCCCTAAGAGAGGACCAAGTGCGCCAGTTTTCTGGTTCGGAGAAGATAAAGGCAGATCTTACCTCTTTCACATCAGGATCGTCGCTCTCAGTCCATACGATAAGCATATAGTAGGTAACCATCAAATTTGTTTAAAATCTCCAAATCATGAGCTGTCTTTGGCAAAAAGCGCCAAGCGGTGAAACTGTGTGTGACTCCGCGCACTTAAAGCGACTCCAGCTCCAACTATCCAGCCTGCCTCAATGTGGCTTTGTTTATGTGAGCTCTGGATGCCGTGGCCCACGTGTTTCGAGGCGCGACGTCATCAGCATCGACAGCGACGCCCACCAATCCGCTTGGGAACTTTCCCAGCTCCTAATTTTCCCCGTGAGTGTGTTTGTCTTGTGCTGTGCGCGCCCTCTGCGCTTCTTCCCCCATGAACCTAAGCAGAGGATGTTGTGGAGGCTGAACCCAGCTTAGTGTCTGCTCTGGACTCAGCGTCATGCCTGTTACAGATGACATCTCTCCGCCCCGGGATGTGGATTTAATGTCTGCCTTACCTGTTGGATAGCCTAAGAGAACAAGTTTTATTTATTTATTTTATTTATTTTTTGGTTGGTTGATTCTCATTTTATTATTAAAGTAGTTCATTTTTGATTTAACTTTTGTCCATATCTGGACAAATATGTAAAAAAAGAAATCTTTAACTTGTTAACTTTTTCCCATCCATCCATCCATCCATCCATCCATCCATCCATCCATCCATCCATCCAATTTTGACTTTCAAAAGAGAAAAAACAAATACATACAGCAGGTAATGTATTTTTTTTATCAAACATATATAGGGGAAAGATGCTGACTTTACTTAATTTCCTCTAAATCATAAACTAATAAAGATTAAAGTATATTGGAGTACGGTATTTCAGATATAAGCCATGATAAGGGTGATAAAGAGCCCTAATAAAGCAAGGTTCAATATTAGTCTTTGTTATTTTCTGAAATTTCTCTTTTCAATTGTGTTCCAAATTTAGACCTCAGATGGGGAGGAGCTAGCCTATTCATAGCACCGGTGAGCTGCTGCAGGAGGAAGGGGGGATAATTAGTGGGCCTGTAGCCAGTTGTCACGGGGGACCCAATTTAATCCCTAGAGAGGGAAGTGTGATAGGAGTTGGCAGAATGGACTGACGTAGAAAATGCTCAGGTTGACGCAGTGGCCAAAATAATCTCCAGGCCTTATTGTTCTGCAGCGATGAAACAAACTGATCTCAGAGTAATCTTACACCAGCACCTTGTGGCCAGCTGAGTAGTGGCCTAAATCTTGCTAGATAGGTTCTGGCCTGTGCAGTGAAAGCATGGGAGAGTGCAGACAGAGAGTGCATGTGCAGGGAGTTGGCTCCACATGCTACAGTCAGCATGGCAAAGCTAGCAGTGTTATATGTTGCTGGTACAATATGCTGCTGCTTTATTAACCAACCAAAGCAGCCATCAGTCTTAAAGTAACAACCCAGACTAACAGTACAATGGGACATTGTGAGCAGAGGTTAGGGTAGGGGGTGCATATAATTGTAACACTCTCCTCTAGAGGACACTATTGTGCATCAGCCATTGTTAACAAAGATGCACTCTCAACAGTAAACCTAAAACCACAAACCTTGTCTTTGGAGGTTTTTATTGCCATTTAAAAGTGTTTATTCTACTTCATTTTTAAAATTGAAGTCACACTTCATCAGTAAAAATAACACAAAGCGGTACATATATTTCAAGGGTAAGGAAAATGAGAGGCTAGTCTTTTCATTTTTGTGAACAAAAATCTGAAAAGTGTGGCATGGGGCATTCAGCCCCCTTAAAATCCTAAATCCATTGCGAAATCCAACCCATCTTTAGGCTTTAGAGGTTATCTAATTAGCAGAGTCCTTCTTAGTGTAATTCAATCTGAATATACAGTTAATACATAAAATTCAAAAGCATACCAACATTGATCCTAAAAACACAATCAGAACTAAATTGAAAGGGTTTAGATCTCGAATTATATAAACATTTCTGTGTGCTAATATGTTCTAGTATATGACTAAAGACCCTTTAAGAATCTGTGACAATCCTTAAAAGGATTGTTAATGGACAAACACCATCCTTTGTAGGCCAGCTGCTTTTAAGTGTGCCATGACAGCTTAAACCTGCTATGATATGGTTATATTGTGCGCAATTGATTCAACATTTTAAACCTAAAAAAAATCTCGTACTCATTGTCTCCAGCTTCATACGGGACATATTTGCGGTGGAAATGTCAAGACACACATTTTTAAAATAATATATAAATATCATTATGCATAGTTAAGGACAATTTATATAGAGCTTTGCTTACACTAATGTTTTCACTTTAGGAAATCTCTATTCAGTATTTGAGGCAGGTGTAGGAAAATGAAGGGATTATCTTTTTTTTCCTTGTTCATTTTTTTTCATTCTGATCCTATATGTAACCAAGTCTTAGGGTTTTCTTCGTGTCCAGATCAAACATTGCTCATGAATCAATTACAGCTGAAAAAGCAGTTGGCTGCGCTTTAGGGGATCCATGCAAGGTGTGAATGGTGATCACGACTCAATCCTTTAATGTCTGATCAGCTCTCACTTGAGATTAGGGCTCATGTGGGTGGCTTTCACTGCAGGAACTGTGTCCTGTATGCAAAGTTAACTTCCCGTGTCAACCCTCAATTTACGTCACTGCTTTACGTCATTTGCCTTTAGTTTTTTTTTTTTCCTCCCTGTGTTGTCCTCTATCAGCACCGTTTGGTGTTTGGTCCAACTGAGATTGTCACTTTATCAGTATAACATCTGCAAATCTGACAGCGATGCAAAACGTGTAATTAGGCAATCACAAACCCCATGGTGGAGACCTTTCAGCTTCACAATCCAGCTCATCCTGTTTCCTATTTGGCTGATATGCAGGGCCAGCCTGCAACTAAATGGGGCCCAAGGCAGATTTAACTCCAGGGGCTCCTTGCCCCAGCAGCACCGCTCTATTTAATTTTCACACATTGTGTGACAGGCAGTCAACTTTTTGGTGAAATCCCTAACACACCTAATTACAAGTCATATTGTGTCATGTAAAATGGGGTACCACCTCTCCAAACCTAACTGATACCTTTATTTAAAGGGATTTTAGTCTAAGATAACAGAGCATGATACAGTAGAGATGGAAATACTGTTTACAGCTGGGTCCAGGGTTCAATGTATAACTAGAGGCTTTCTTTATTTTTATATCATATAACTTACTACTTCATTTCCAACTGCAGAATGGTGCAGATGAAAAGGACACTTTTTCCAAATGTACCAAATTGTTCATATACAATTTTTATATGGTCAACTAATAGAATGGGATTATCCTTTTTGTCAAATCTATGACGACAGTAGTTTATATTCCTTTGTATATAATTAGTTTACTGTTTTTATATTTAAAAACATGGTACAGCACAATATTTTGTTTTTTTTTTCTTTTTTTTTTAACTCTCACTTATTCTGTTATTTTTAAACACTTTTTGAGGTCCACATTGTGTGACCACTTTTGCTATAATCTTTTGCTTCTGTAACAGCACAATTTCCCCATTGTGGGACAATAAAGGGATTTTCTATTCTATTCTACTCTATTCTAATATTAAAATCTACATGTTTTATTTGGTGGATATTTAAAAGCTGTTTCACAGTCAGTTTCAGAAGTGCAAATATATTAATTTACACTTGTCAGAGATACATGTTCCCAATATTGCCGTAGCAGACATTGCATTGATATATATACCAGATATAAATGATATGGTGTTTTTAAACATTTTTAATCTTTAGCTCTACCCTTAAGAGCACAAAAGCAATTAATATATCAACACGATTTTGCTAAAATGTTTGTGATTTCTTCATTGTGTTATTGCATTGATTACCTCATGTTGCCACATATTTTTCTGCCAGTTACTTTTTCTTCTTCAGATGGTTAGCGAAGCAGAGAGGCTTAGAAGAAGCCCCTGAAGCATCCGACTAACCTAAATATGTTTTAAAAGGTGGAATTTTAAAATGTTTTCAAGAGGCTTAAAATGTGTGGTCCATTAAAGTGACCTGTTGAAAGAGAAAGAACCTGAAATTTATTGCTGGATATAAAGGTCCTGGTAATTGGTATTGGTCATTTTTACCTTATATTATTTCTTGCATTTCTCTTTTTCAGTCTTATTAATAATAAGTTAAGCATAAACATGTCTTCACATTTTATAACTTAAATAAAGTAAAATTATACTTGAGATTTACCCATTTTATGGAAAGTTTCCTCTCTATCTGGTCAATAACCTTATAAAAATGACTATGCATAAATTAAATAAAAGGAAATCATTGTTTACAGGTAAAAATTAAAAGGAAAGTATTTGGACTTGTTTCACCTTTGTCTCTCCCTTATGAAAACGTACTTGCAAGCATAGAAAGTAGATGAAAGTGCTAACTTATAAGCAATTTCATAAAATACACCTATACATCAGGATGAAAAAGGCACTTACTACAATTTTACGCTTTTTATAAATTATCTCACATTGTTGTTTTCTTTCTTAAAATCTAAAAAATGAATAATAAATGGGTTGCTGACTTTCTTTTAAAATTAATCTAAGGATGAAAATCCACTCTCCATACTCACAAGACTAGTGTCATCTCCAACCTTCGGCAGGTCTCAAACTTTCTGATAACTGTACAGCCCGACCCTGAAGGCATCTCTTTGTTCGGTGTCTTCCTTCCATTCCTGAATTCCCACTTTACAAGCCTAAACGTCTACTTAATATGCTTTAATGCCTGCTCTTTAGAGCCAGGAAGCACTTCATCACTTTTATACACCTTTATATAACACACTGTTAACTAGCAATGCCTTATGGAGCAGCTTGTCTTGCAGCTGGAAGGCGCCTCCATGGCATGATGGAGGTATCTGTTCACCATTCACAATGAGACAGTAAAATGGGAATAGAGGCCTCTGCATACTGCTGCTGTCTATATCAGTCAGTGATGAATATTCATGAATCACAGTGTCATGACATGCTCTGTAATTGGCAGCAACATTAGTAATGACACTGCTGGTATCAAGTCCCTGCATATTCATGCGGTGGGGCAATATTTCCTCACGCTGGTGTTTTTCTGTTCTTTTTCAATCCTCCTGAAAGTGGAAATGTATTCTGAAGCTGCAGGTGTCCCTGGTTCCACAATCAATTGCTGGCTGGATTGTGCCCCCATGAAAATCAGACAAACTATTAGATTTTTTTTTTCAAAATATGTTTGATTAATAATATGTCTG